AACAAAGCCAGGAGCTGATTGTGGAAAAGACCATCAACTGCTCATATGCAAGTTCAACCTGAAGTTGAAGACAATTAAAACAAGTCCATGAAGCCAAAATATGACCTGAAATATATCTCTCCTGAATTTAGAAACCATCTAAAGAATAGATTTGATGCACTGAACAACAATCACCAAACCCAGAGTAATTGTGGGAAGATATCAAGAACATCATCCATGAAGAAAGCATGAGGTCATTAAAAATACAAGAAAGAAAGAAAAGACCAAAATGGATGTCAGAAGAGACTCTGAAACTTGCCCTTGAATGGATAGTAGCTAAATCAAATGGAAGAAATGACAAAATAAAAGAGCTGAACAGAAAATTTCAAAGAGCAGCTCGAGCAGACAAAGCCAATTACTATAATGAAATGTGCAAAGACCTGTAGTTGGAAAACCAAAAGGGAAGAATGCACTCAACATTTCTCAAGCTGAAAGAACTGAGGAAAAAATTTAAGCCTTGAGTTGCAATATTGAAAGATTCTATGGGTAAAATACTGAATGATGCAGAAAGCATCAAAAGAAGATGTAAGGAATACACAAGAGTCACTGTACCAAAAAGAACTGGTCGATCTTTTTCCATTCCAGGAGGTAGCATAACCAAGAACCAACGGTATTGAAGGAAGAAGTCAAAGCTGCACTGAAGGAATTGGTGAAGAAAAGGGTTCCAGGAATTGACAGAAGACCCACTGAGATATTTCAACAAATGGATGCCCTGCTGAAGGAACCCACTGGCTACCCAGTTGGCCAATTGATTGGAAGAGATCCATAGCTGTACCCATTCCAAAGAAAGGTGATCCCACAGAATGTGGTAATTATTGAACAATATTATTAATATCTCATGCAAGTAAAATCTTACTAAAGGTAATTCAAAAACAGTTGCAGCAGTATATTGACAGAAAACTTCCAGAAGTGAAAGCTGGATTCAGAAGAAGATGTGGAACGAGGGATATCATTGCTGATGTCAGATGGATCTTGGCTCAAATCAAATAATATAAGAAAGATATTTACTTGTGTTTTATTGACTATGCCAAAGCATTTGATTGTGTGGCTCATAACTAACTGTGGATAACATTGAGAAGAATGGGAATTCCAGAACACTTGATTGTACTTATGAGAAACCTGTATATAGACCAGGAGGCTGTCGTTTGAACAGAACAAGGGGACACTGCATGGTTTAAAATCAAGAAGGGAGTGTGTCAGGGTTGTATCCTTTTCCCATACTTATTCAATCTGTATGCTGAGCAAGTAATCCAAGAAGCTGGACTACAAGAAGAAGAACATGGCATCAGGATTGGAGGAAGAATCGTTAACAACCTGCAATACACTGATGACACAACTTTGCTTGCTGATAGTGAGGATGACTTGAAGCACTTACTGATGAAGACTGAAGAATACAGCCTGCAGTATGGATTACATCTCAATATAAAGGAAACAAACATCTTCACAACTGGACCAATAAGCAGTGTCATGATAAATGGAGAAAAGACTGAAGTTGTCAAAGACTTCCATTACTTGGTTGTACAATTGATGTCAATGGAAGCAGCAGTCAGGACATCAGACAATGTACAGCACTGGGCAAATCTAATGTAAAGGACCTTTTCAAGTGCTGAAGAGCAAAGATGTCTCCTTGGGAACTAAGGTGCGCCTGACACAAGCCATGGTATTTTTCAAATATTATCATTACCAAATTCTTGGAAAATGTTACCACTTTATGCTTATTGTGGCCTTTTATTTCTTTTTTTTGTTTAGGAAGGCCTTAGGAAGGCCCAAGTTTCTATTCTTTTAATGTGTATGTAAGAATAATTGTTAACATATTTTCACACAAATTCTGTGAAGCCCTTCCTACTGTCATATCATTTACTGAAATTAAAAAAAGCAGAAACAAACAAACAAACAAACAAACACCACCACATATAAAATATACATGCTTAAGCTCATTTCTCCTTTTGGAATCTTAGGCTCAATTTGCTTCTTATCCATTTCCTCAAGGAAATGGAAAATTTAGAGGAAAGTTAGTATTTTTGAATATGCACATGATTTATTGGTATTTCATATGTAAAAAGTGAGTAACATTTTGATTTTTTATGGAAATGTAAAACCATCACAGAAGCATCAATGTCTTTTCTATGAACACGTCTATGATCAACTCAAATCACTAAAATGCACTTACCTTAAAAAATTCCTTTTTCTCAACCATCTCATCGCCATCTGAATCCAGCATTTTAAATGCAACATGAAATCCAGTGTGAGGTTCTGCAATGATGTGAAAAATGAACAATAATTGAAATCTTGGTGAAATACAAATTATTTGCCATCATTTGAAGATCTGTGTTGTTGTTGTTGTTATGTGCCGTCGAGTTGGACCCAACTCATAGTGACCCCTCCTTGGGTTTCTGAGGCGGTATCACTACGGAAGTAGATTGCCCAACCTTCCTTCTGAGGAGGGGCTGGTGGGTTTGAACCGCCAGCCTTCTGGTGAACAGTCAAGTGCCTTAGGCACTACTCTACCAGAGCTCCTTTGAAGATCTGTAGATCTTCAAATTGGAAATAAGCCACTAGTAACTATGTAAGTAAATGCCAAAATAGAGAACAAAAATGATAACTTTTTATGGTAAACATTTCAAGGCTGATATTTTATGTGAAGGCCTTGTTTTCTGCCTCCTCCAACATCTTTTACATTGGGTGCTGCTCTTGTTCTGCTATTAAGTAAGCACAATTAATCTGAGAATTGAATTGACTTCATTAGATGTACCAGGGATATTCCTATATTCTTTTAGTAGCTTAATTATTCTCATGTTGATTATTACATCTTCCTTTCATTTTCTCAAAGGAAGGTATTTTTTTTTTTTTTTAACTTTTCATTTTGGAATAATTTTAGCCTTACAGAAATGGTGTAAAGACAGTACAGAGTTTCCTACACTCTTTACCCAGGTTCCCCCATTGTGAACATCTTTCATCTACAGTACACTGGTCAAAACTAAGAAGTTAATGCTGGTAAGGCAATATTAATTAAACTACTGACTGTATTTGGATTTCCCTCCTTTCTGTATTCTGTTCTATTCTAGGACCAAACACAAGATACCATGTTGCATTTAGTTGTCATGTCATGTCTCCTTAGTCTCCTTCAATCTGGGACAGTTCCTCAGGCTTTTCTTGTTTTTTATGTCCTTGGAGTGCTGGTTAAGTAAGAATTTTGTAGAATGTCAGCTGAGGGTATTTTGATATTCTTAGGTAAAGGCTAACTCTTGACTCTCTTGTTGACTTCGACTAAGGAGACAAAGTTATGAGGAGCCATAGTACAAGGTAGGTAGAAAAGATCTAAAAAAAACCTAAAAAACTAAACTCACTGCCATTGAGTCAATTCTGACCCATCACGACCCCCCTTGGGTTTCCATGGCAGTAAATCTTTACGGAAGTAGATTGCCCAGTCTTTCTTCCACAGAGTAGCTGGTGGGTTTGAACTGCCAGACTTCTGGTTAGCAGTCAAATGTTTTAACTAGGCCACCAGAGCTCCTAGAAAAGAGCTAAAGTGATGATTTAAACCAACACTGTTGTTTTATAGATGTACAAACTGAAGTATCAATGATTTTTAAAAATGATAAAGACAAAATGCCAAACTTCCAAAAACCTAGCTTGGTAATAAGAACAGAGAATTCCATGTGATCATTAAGAAAATTTGTGGAATACTTACTAGTGAGGATTGTAAGCAAGAAAAGATACTCAGTATACGAAATTAGCCCTGAAAGAGAGAAAATAAAAACACATCAGAAATAAATCTTAGATTAGATGGTTTAGAATTAATCATGTAGAGATATTAACAAGGTAACTTTAACCACACACTTTTTTCTTCTTCTTCTTTTTTAAAAATTAACTACTCTTTCATATGTTGTAGTTGTTATGTGCTGTCGAGTTGGACCTGACTCATAGTGACCCCTCCTTGGGTTTCCAAGGCAGTATCACTACGGAAGTAGATTGCCCCATCTTCCTTCCGAGGAGTGGCTGGTGGGTTTGAACCGCCAGCCTTCTGGTTAGCAGTCAAGTGCCTTAGCCACTATGCTACCAGAGCTCCCACTCTTTCATATAGTGGGGTACTTTTATAATAGAGAACTAAGGTATAAAACCAAAAACCGAACTCATTGCTATCAAGTTGATTCTGACTCACAGCACCCCCCACTGGGTTTCTGAGGTAGTAAATCTTTACGGAAGTAGATTGCCCAGTTTGCCTTCCGGGGAGTGGCTGGTGGGTTTGAACCTCCAACCTACTGGTTAGCAGTCCAGTAATATTATTTTTTTTTTTTCCCCTTTAAAAGAACTAGGTTTCACCAGGTGAATAAGGAGTAAGAATGGATATTGGTGAGCAAAACAGGCATGTACTTGAGGTTTTATCTACATGGCATTTAATGCAATTCCTACTCAATTTTACTATTCATGGTATCTCAAGTGAAGCAAATTCAGAAATTCAGTGGAATAGCAGAGATATGAGTATAGCAAAGGTGAAATTATATTATTTAAAATGTAATGATTATATTTCTGTAACCTTTCTTTTGGGAGATCATTCTTTCCTCATTCTCAAACATGCAGTTTGGGCAGGACTGACTCCACCTTCAGCATTGGAGGTAGAGGCTGGCTGGTTCCTGAAGGAACTGGTTCAGGATGGGCATGCAGCTCAAAACAAAAACTAAACCCAAACCCGTTGCTGTAGAGTTCATTACAACTCACAGTGACCCTGTAGGACAGAGAAGAACTGCCTGATGGGATTTCCATCTTTATGTATTTCCATCATGTAATCTTTATGAAAGCAGACTGCCTCATCTTTCTCCTTTGGAGTGGCTGGTGGTTTCAAATAGCTGACCTTCTGGTTAGCAGCCAAGTGCTTAACCACTGTGCCACCAGAGCTCCTCTACAGGCCCAAACTAATCAGCAGGTTGTATTAGTTCGGCCATTAAGGACTTGTTAAGAGATGGACCATGACCTAAATTGGTCCACTTAGAGATATATATGACAGGATTTCAGTTGAGAAAGCTGGCTCATTGACTTCCTTTATTTCCTTCTCCCCTTCTGTTGGGCTTTGATGATGTAAGAATTCTATGTTTAGGAAAGTGAAGCCATGGATAAAGTGCCTGGAGGAGGCCAGTATATAGAGCTAATTTTAAACTGGATGGCCTGAAAGATGAAAACTGGTGATGTTTGAGCCCTGGATTAAGCTTTGCTTAAAGCTAGCTCCGTGTCTGGCCATTAATGAAGTTCCTTTCTCGTCTAAGTACTATCAGGTTTTATGATGCTTGGAAACGAAAGAATTCCAATAACTATAGAAACAACATATTGCACTGGGCAAATCTGTTACAAAAGACTTCTTTAAAGTAAGAGCAAAGATGTCACTTTGAAAACTAAGGAGCGTGTGACCCAAGCCATGGTATTTTCAATAGTCTCATATGCATATAAAAGCTGGATAATGAATAAGGAAGACTGAAGAAGAAATGATCCATTTCAATTGCGGTGGTGGCAAAGAATATTGAAAATACCATGGACTACCAGAATGAAAAAATCTGTCTTGAAGAGGTACAGCCAGAATGCTCCTTAGGAGGAAGGATGGTGAGACTTTGTCTCATTCTTTGGTCATGTTGTCAGGAAGGATCAGTTCCCGGAGAAGGATATTATACTTGGTAAAGTAGATGGTCACCAAAAATAGGAAGACCTTCAGCGCGATAACTGATACAGTGGCTGCAACAATGGGCTCAAGCATAGCAATGACTGTATGGGCGGTACAGAACCGGGCAGTGTGTCAGTCTGTTGTACACGAGGTCACTGAGTCGAAACTGGCTTGATGGCACCTAACAACAGCAACACTGAAATAATACCTTACAAATCACATTCCTCATGAGCTAAAAAGTTGTTTTCCATCTAGATCATAAGCTTGATTATTAATACAGCAAAATGTATAATTAAGAAAAACATCTTATCATGGAAAATTTCAATCATATACTAATGTAGAGGGAAAATGATATGGTGAATAATTACATTTATCATAACTTTACCCAGCTCCAACAGTTATTAACTCATGGCCTGTCTTGCTTTAGCTATACCTGTTTTCACTTTCCCCTCTCCAGTTTCTACTGGATTATTTGAAACAAATCCCAGATATCCTATCTTTTCATAGTAAAGCATTCAGGCTATATCTAAAAAGGAATTAAAAAAAGTAAAATCCCAATAAATAAATTTACCATACCTAAAAATTATCAGTAATTCCTTGTTACGTGCTGTTGAGTCAGATCCGACTCATAGCGACCCTCTTAAAAAATTCAAATTAGCATTACAAATTTCCATTTCAGAATATATTTCTTAAAACAGTCTGTTCAGTTTAGGATCCAAAGAAAATCCTGGCATTCACCGGGCTGACAGGTCTCTTTAGTCTTTTAGTCTAATGGTTCTCCCACTGTCTTCTTTTCCCTTTCAATTTAATTGATAAAGATTCCTGCTTTTTTGCCTTCTAAAGTTTCTCACAGTCTAGAAAATTCTGCTGATTCTATTTCTTTGGTGTCATTTCACATGTTCCTCTAACTTCTATATTTCCTATGGACTAGTAGTTAATCCATAGGTGTGCTCAGATTCAGGTTTGGTTTTGGGTATGAATATTTCATAGATGGTGCTGTATACATCTATCCAAACCAAACTTTCTGTCACTGAATTGATTCTGACTCATAGTGACCCTTTTGACAGAGTGGAATGGCCCCATAGTGTTTCCAGGGCTGTCAATCTTTATGGAAACAGAACACTCATCTTTCTCCCACAGAGTGGCTGTTAGGTTCCAACTGCTGACCTTTTAATTAGCAGTTCAATGTATTAATCACTATGTCACCAGAGCTCCTATACAACCAAAAAACCAAACTTACTGTCATTGAGTCGATTTGACTCATACCAACTCCTCCTTGGGTTTCTGAGGTGGTATCTCTATGGTAGTAGATTACCCAACCTTCCTTCCAAGGAGTGGCTGGTGGGTTTGAACTGCCAGCCTTCTGGTTAGCAGCCAAATGCCTTAGGCACTATACCACCAGAGCTCCCATACATCTATCAGGTGACCCCAAAACAAATGTTTACAGAAGATGCTAAGTATCACTGAGTGAATCTGATAGTAAGAATGATAGGAGTTTAGATGATCAGAGATATCATGGGGAAGTAATTCTAAAAACTGAATGATGAGTAAATTATTAGTTTTTAAATTATGAATTATTTGTTAATTGGAAAACAAATATACAACTTGGAATGCATTTGAGGCAAATTGTACCATAAGCAAATTTTGTTTAAATGGCTAAACAAAGTTTGAAAAGCAAGTAATAATAAAAGAAAATGTTTCTGGTACAGGACCAGCAGTAAAACAACAGTGTATGAGCACCTGGATAATATACTTGTTTCACAATAGTGCAAATGTAACTACATATTATTGACTGTCTATGGTCCACACCAAGTTACAACTCCACACTTCAACAACAACATGCTGACAGTTCCTCATCTCACCAACTCCTTCTAAGTTTAGATGTACAGAAGGGCTTAGATACATCCAGGGTAAGCCACATGCAACATGTTACTTGATAAATTTTCTTGAATAAGGTTTCAGGACAGTGACAGTAAGATAAGGGAAGAAAACATGGAGGAGTGCAGTCCTAATTACTCTACATGCATATTCTCTTGACAGTAGGGGGAAACCTTTTACAGATAAATTAAAAAGAAAACGCAAATAGACAATTTTATATAGGAAATTTAACACATTCTGTACAATGTCTTCACTTTGCTGTCATCATTTGTAAAAACTCTTCAAAGTTTATTGTCCATCACCATCAATATTTTCTTCTCTGATCATTTCATCAACCTCTTCATCAACCTTCTCTTCAAGGTGTGTCATCCCATTAAGCTCTCAGCACTAATACAGCCATTATCATCATTATCAAATACACAGAATGCTTCTCTAATTTCTTCTTCACTGCCTACGTCTTTCATTTTTCTTGCTATCATTGTCAGAAATTCCAGGAAGTCAACTGTCCCATTACCGTCAACCTCGACTTCACTAATGACATCCTGTAATTCTACTTCTGTGAGATTCTGCCCAAGAGACTTTACAGTTCCCAATTTCTTTGTTGTTACAGTTCTATCACCATCCTTGCCAAATAGTGAAAAAGCTTGTTTGAATCCTACATTCTGCTCTTCTGTTAGATGATCAGCCATGCTGCAAGTGCTACCAGTCTCTGAGATGCAATCATACAATCACTTGGCTCACTAGGTCCACTTGGACTGAGTGATGGGTAAAATTTTTGATTAAGCAGGTATGGTATAAGGGGGGGGAGACATATCAGATAGATGAAGCTGAATATGAAAATTAAAAATGACTGTCTGAAATAACATTTATGTGAAAGAAGTAATGGGAAATAAAGCTGTTACAGTAGCCCAGACATGAAGAACAAAGACTTGAACAAGGTGATAGCAGTGGGAATGTATTTTTCATTCTATGAAGGATTACCATGATTAAATGGCTCCTGCAGTGCAATCGGTTTCTCTTTATATATGGTCTTTCTGGCATTGGGCTTGCAATTCTGCCAAAAATGATTGGTTGGGCCACTGTCTGCCCTGTGACTGGTCTTTTCTATGCACCTTGCAAGGAAGCAGAGGCAGGGATTCAGGTAAGGCTGGGGACCCAGGCCATGGCCCTTCCAAGCCATGGGAAAGTCAGGGAAAGCAGAGAAAAAGCTG